TCTCATCATTGATGTTTCCATCTCTCTCTCTCCCTCTCCCTTTCTCTCTAAAGTCAATAAAAATATATTTTAAAAAATATTTTAATTTTGAGAAAGACAGAATCACATAATTTCACTCATATATGGAAGCTAATGAACAAAATAAACTGATGAACAAAATATATCTAGAGACACAGAAGCATGGAACAGACTGTGGAATCTCAGAGAGAAGGGGGTGTGAGTGGATGGGTGGGAAGAGATCAAACAAATAACTTGTAGGCACATATGCATAACCCATGGACACAGACAATAGGGTGTTGAAGGCCTGGGGGGTAGACAGGGGCTGACTAGAAGGGATCAATGGAGGAAAAAAGGGGACATATATAATACTTTCTTTTAAAAAAATATATTTTATTGATTTCTTACAGAGAGGAAGGGAGAGGGATAGAGAGTTAGAAATATTGATCAGCTGCCTCCTGCACACTCCCTATTGGGGATGTGCCTGCAACCAAGGTACATGCAAGGTCCCCGGAGTCGAACCTGGGACCCTTCAGTCCGAAGGCCGATGCTCTATCTGCTGAGCCACACCACTTAGGGCAATACTTTCAATAGTAAAGATTTAATTTTCAAAATGTTTTAATTTTTAAATGAAAAATTTTAATTTTTGACCTGTAGTAAAGTCTCAAAATTGATTAGGTGTCAATGTTCATTGATATAGTCCTGGGCATCCTACTTTCTATAAGGGTTATTTCCCTTAAATCTCTCCTCTACGGTCACAACTTGGAATTGTGGGTGCTCCACCCAACGTTTCCATTTCACAGATGATGAGACTGAGGCCCAGACACTGAGTGGGCTTAATCCATACTCTCCTGATTGTCCTCTAGGGTTCGTGAAAGGACAGGTAATGTAGATAGGGATGAGGAGCAGAATTTTTTAAACTTTGTTTTTAGAGTAAAACATGTATATATAAAATTGACCATTTTAGACATTTTATAAGTATACAATTCAATGGTATTAAATATATTCACATCACCACTACCCATCTCTAAAACCTTTCATCATCACAAACCAAAACACCATACCCAGTAAACAGTATTTTCTCATTTCTCCCTCCCCCAGCCCGTGGCACCCACCATTGTACTGTCTCTATGAATTTGACTACTCTAGGTACCTCATATAAGTGGGATCATACAGTATGTGTGTCTTGCTTACTATTATTTCACTTAGCATAATGTCCGCAAGGTTCATCCATGTTGTAGTGTGTCAGAATTTCCTTTCTTTTTAAGGCTGAATTGTATGGCTGTACCACATTTTGTTAATCCATTCATCTGTCCATCGACACCTGAGTTAGTTCCACCTTTTGCCTATTGTGAATGATTTTGCTATGAACATGGGTTGCAAACATCTGTTTGAGTCCCTACTTTAAATTTTTTGGGGGGGTATATACCTGGCAGTGGAATTGCCGGATCATATAAAAATTCTAATTTTAATTTTTGAGGACTCTGCCATAGTTTTCCCACAGCGGCCGAACCATTTTGTATTCTAGGGGCAGAATATTTTCAATCCATCCTGGTCCCCATGCCAAGGCTGCACAGCCAGCCACCAGGCGGCCCAGCCCTCCCGGTGACTCAGATCAGAGCTTGTTTGTGTTTGTTTGTTGCTAAAAATGTGCTGAAGCAAAACAACCCTCTTACAGAAAGGGCGGGGCGCCCTTCAAGGAGCAGTTGCTGGGAGCTACCAGAGGTCAGGTTTATATTTAAAGTCCTATTAATAACTCCGCCGCAGGTAGAGCTCCTGCCTGGCCGGAAGGTCTCGTTTCTGTTTCTTGAGGGAAAGGGAAATGTCTTTCTTCTGAGATTGTTCGTCGCTCCTCCACCCTCCGTAAAGTCATGGACTGTGGAGTGGACAGAAGGAATTAGAAGTTTCTGTTTGTGGCATCACTGCAGCAGAAAAAAAAGAAGGAAAAAAGGCGGGCGGGAGTGTGGGGGAGA